TATCGCAAACGCTTGATTGCAGTTGTTGCTGCAAAGGGTGGCACAACCAGTTATTAGATGTAGGGGGCAATTACTTTTTCCACGTAGTGCCAGGCAGGTTTGGACAGTTTTTTCCCTTACTAAATGAAATCATTATTTCAAAACTGCATTTTGTATTTACTCGGGTTATATTTGTGTAATATTAATTTGTTCGATGATCTGAATTATTAAAGTGTGACAAATATGCAAAAAAAAAAAACATAACTTTTTCACACCACTGTATATATAATACTACTAGATATTAAGTGTCTTTTAAACACCAACTAAGCAAACCAAAGGCAACAGTGGCTAATAGCAAGCCAAATTCCATCAGGTAACAGAAATGGAGAGAAAAAAACCTTTGCAAGAAACCAGGCTTAGTCGAGGGGCCAGTTCTGCTCTGGCCAAAAAATGTGCATGGTATTATACAGGCAAGTCAGCACAAGTCAGAATTGTAGATTGATATCATTCAAACATTTTGCATCAGCTCCTTCTGATTGAAGATCAGGAAACGACACGCTGACATTTGATCGAATGTTGTAGAGTTGTAGTCTGTCCAGCACATTGAAATACGAAGGTAGAGCTGGCATTTAGCCAGAAGTGGATAACTTAGCTTAGCAATGACCTTAAGCACGTGATTCTTGTTAATACTGTAATGCGTTCCTAGTTGGTCCTGGCATGACACATTACTAGCTGGCCATAGGTACCTGTGATCAGAAATGTATGACTCAACTGCAACCCTTTCCATTACTCACTAATAAGCATTCAAAATGTATGCTCTAACCCTGGCAGCAAATATGCAGTTCTCAGCAATTAGTTATAAAATAATTTTTTTATTAATTGTCTTAACTTATTGACTTGTTGTACAATGACTATATGTGCTAACACATACTGTATAAATAACATGGCTGTTCTTTGCCATATTTTAGATCCACTTCTTCAAACATAGTCATTTTGTCACATGTTACTGTTTTTGACCTCTAGAGTACGCTGATATACTGTAGAACCAAGGACTTGCAGCTGTAGACAAGCAGAATCCTCCAGTGCCAGTGCACAGAAGGCTCATCACAGAGCAACTGAAGTTTCACAAACTATCAGTGTTGATTTTAACGATGATCTTTAGTTCCTTAAAAACAACTATCTGTGCCAATTAATCAGTAAAAATGATATATCAGTTAGTCAGCTAGCTGTGTTCCCCAACAATAATATGCTACAGATGGTTAGTGCATGGACTGTATGTGTGTTAATTTTTCCCATTAAAAATACAATATGATAATAACTATCTGAAAAAAAAATATTAATTCATTTCTACAGAGCAAATAAACTGAGGTATTCTCTTACCCCAGTTGGGTCATCATGGTTACCATGCACACTGAAGACAGGGATGGAGATGTTGAGATTACTGTCCAAGTAGTTCACCCATGGAAATCTGACAAAATAAACTGAGTATAATGTGTCTGTATGCATGTTTACGTTTTTTTTTTTTTAATCTCTGTACATTGGAACAAAATGCATATTAAAGTAGTATTTCATACTGAACAAACTTTTATCGTTCATCAAACATTTAATGACATTTTTTATATTTAATGTGGGTCAGTTTACATGACAGGTGCTGTTTCTGGTGTTTGATGTGCTTGAAACAGTTTCCCCAATACATAGCTTGAAACTTACATGTACTCCATTGAATTTTAGGGTCAAACACCGCTGAAATGTTATTTTTTGTGTTAACATACTGAGTGCAACAGAAACAGGAGTGCAATAATTGTGGCTAAAATATAAATTTTGATAAAATATTTGATGAGAAATCAAAATGTATGCAAGAAATTATGTTTTTATGAGAAGTGAATCTGTAATAGCACCTTACATTTACAAAGAAAACATAGTAACAAATATGTTTATTTTTATAATAAAATACAACAATCCAACTTGTTTAAAATATTGTTTGTCTTTCATGTTTCTCAAATCAAATTCAATTCAATTTTATGTAACATACTTGCTTTACACATAATTCTTGCTATACAATGGCGATTCATATTGACCACGGATGTTGACAGATAATTTCCCCCTCCCTGAAGCATACCTAGCCCACATTCACATCTACAAATAAAACTATGCCACATTATGTTTGGTTACTACAGGTGACATGAAGGTTAGTAAATAATTAAATAATTTGGTAGCACTTTCTATGAAGCCCATATTTGTAAGACATTATAAGGGTATTCTTAAGGCATTATAATGAATGCATAATGCATTATAAAAAAAAACTTCATAATGTGTTGTATAATGTCATTAATAATCATAACAACAATTACAATACATTATAATACTTATTTGTGGTTATAACTTTTAAGAGTATGATCATTTATAACAAACAACGAGCACCCTGTTAAATCCACTTAATTTGTAATGGACTATAAGTCTCATATCTTGACATTGTTTATTTAAGATCTGCACAGTATCTTAGCGGCTCATATGCGTGTTTAAGATGTTAGTTAATTAATGTTAATTTTAAGCTTTGTTTTGTAAATTGTTTAAGCTCATTTGTAATACATTTAGAACTCGATATTAGGTTACACTTCATTTAAATGGTCCCTTTTGAACATTCTATTGACTATAAGTTTGCAACCACAAGTCAACTAGCTCTCATTAGAGTATTAGTAGACTGTATTAGTTGACATGTACTTGCAAAGTTATAGTTAGCAGAATGTCTAAAAGGGACATCAAAATAATCAAACTGATATTATAACAAAAAAGCAAATGTGTCATATAACCCACTCATGACCTCTGATATCTGGTCAGATATGTTACTTTACTTAAAGCAGACAGAAAACCACAAATAAATATTATGACCACATTATAAAGCCTTTTGTAGGATTACAAGAAGACTTTGCATTTGTCACTTTAGAATAAAAAAATTACTAAGTGAAAGTGAAATGACATGTGGCCAAGTATGGTGACCCATACTCGGAATATGTGCTCTGCATTTAACCCATCCAAGTGAACACACACCTTGGAGCAGTGGGCAGCCATATTGCTGTGGCACCTGGGAAGCCAGTTGATGGTTCAGTGCCTTGCTCAAGGGTCTCACCTCAGTCGTGGTATTGAGGGTGGAAGAGAGCGCTGGTAATTCACTCCCCCCACCGATAATTCCTGCCGGACCTGAGACTCGAACCCACAACCCTCGGGTTACAAGTCCGACTCTCTAACCATTAGGACATGACTGCCCCCAAATAGGATGTGTTTGTAAGAAATTATTGTGCCAATCTTAATGTGAAGATACAAGACTTATACAGTGCATTCAGAAAGTATTCAGACCCCCTTCACTTTTTTCAATTTTGTTATGTTGAAGCTTGATACTACAATTGTTTTTCTCTCATTAATCTACACTCCATACCTCATAATGACAAAGTGAAAACAGAATTTTAGAAATGTTTGCAAATTTATTAAAAAGAAAAAACTGAAATATCACATTTACAGAAGTATTCAGACCCTTTACTCAGTACTTGGATGAAGGACCTTTGGCAGCAATTACAGCCTCAAATCTTTTTGGGTATGACGCAACAAGCTTTGCACACATGGATTGGGGGATTTTCTGCCATTCTTCTTTGCAAATCCTGTCAAGCTTGGGCAGGTTGGATGGGAACCGTCGCTGGACAGCCATTTTCAGGTCTCTCCAGAGATGTTCGATAGGGTTCAAGTCAGGGCTCTGGCTGGGCCACTCTAGGACATTCACAGAGTTGTCCCTAAGCCACTCCTGTGTTGCCTTGGCTGTGTGCTTAGGGTCATTGTCATGTTGGAAGGTGAACCTTCGGCCCAGTCTGAGGTCCTGAGCACTGTGGAACAGGTTTTCCATTGAGGATATCTCTGTACTTTGCTCCATTCAGCTTTCCCTCAACCTTCACCAGTCTCACAGTCTCTGCCCCTGAAAAACACCCCCACAGCATGAGGCTGCTACCAGCACACTTTACTTTTGGGATGGTACTCTGCAGGTGATGAGCAGAGCTGTTTTCCTTCAAACATGATGCTTAGAATTGAGGTTCATCAGATCAGATAATCTTGTTTGTCAGAGTCTAAGGGTCCTTTAGGTGCTGTCTTGCAAATTCCAAGTGTGTTTTCATGTATCTTCAACTGAGAGGATTGAGTTTGGCCACACCGCCATAAAGCCCAGATCGGTGGAGTGTTGCAGTGATTTTTGTCCTTCTGTAGGTTTCTCCCATCTGCATATATGATCATGGCGCTCAACTAGAGTGACCATCAGGTTCTTGGTCACCAGTCTAGACAAGGCCCTTCTCCATCAATTGCTCAGTTTGGCTGGGCGACCAGATCTGGGAAGAGTCCTGGTTGTGCCAAACTTCTTCCATTTGAGAATTATGGAAGCCACTGTGCTCTTGGGAACCTTTAGTACAGCAGACATTTTTTTGTAGCCTTCCCCAGATCTGTGCCTCGATACAATCCTGTCTTTGAGCTCTGCAGGCAGTTCCTTTGACCTCATGGCTTGGTTTTTGCTCTGATATGCACTGTCAGCTGTGAGGTCTTTTATAGAGAGGTGTGTGACTTTTCAAATCATGTCCAATCAATTTAATTTACCACAGGTTGACTCCAATCAAGGTGTAGAAACATCTCAGCAATGATCAAGAGAAATGGGAGGCACCTGAGCTAAATTTCAAGTGTTGTTGCTAGGGATGCACCGAAATGAAAATTCTTGGCCGAAGCCGAACAAAATTAAACACTGGGAAAAAGTGAAGGGGGTCTGAGTACTTTCTGAATGCACTGTAACTACACACATTATAACTATGGGAAATATAATCCATTGTAACTTAAGTGGATACAATTTGTTCATTGTATGTAATAAATAATGACACTTTTAAAAGCTGTAACTACAAATGAGTAGGTATTACAATGTATTATTAACTGTTACTTAATAATAACTGAGATACAACATATAATAAATTAAACAAATATATATAAAAGTCATTACGCATTCATTATAGTTTATTAGAAATGTAGTCTTCATAGAAAGTGTTAGCAAAACGTTTTATTTTGGCTTGAACTATTCCTGTTATGAGGTGAAAAAAAAATAAGCATTGACAATGTTTCTCATCAAGACCTTACTTGCTGTGGCTGAAATTGACAGCCTGATCACTGAGGATTTCAAAGATGATTGGCCGGTCACCCATGCAGTACTTCCTCATCACCTCCATGCAGCAGTGCATAGTCTTGCGGGATGGTTTATTGTCATGGAACAGATCCCCACCCAGCAAAACAAAGTCAACCTGAGAGAAAAGCAGAGAAGCACTATAAAAACAAATCTTATTAAAATTGACAGGTGATGAAGAAAAAAAAGCATAGTCTGTATACTGTACACCAGGGTTCCTCAATTAGTTTTAGCAGAGGGCCGAATTCTGCCAACAATACCAAGCCAAGGGCCACTGACCTATATATAAATATATACAGTATATATATATATATATACAGTATATATATATATATATATATATATATATATATATATTATTATTACAATTATTACTATTTCTTACATATAAATAGTTTTTAACACACAGCTTTATTTTAGCATCGAGACATTACTAGTTTTTATTAATATTTTGAATTACTTTTTATTTTTAGATTGTTTTTATTTTAATTTTAGTTCCAACGCAATGCGATAAAAAGTATCTTTTCCATGTAGTTTTTGTCCTAACCACCCGTGACAATAAGCGACACAGGATTCTATTTTAGAAATGGTTTTTATTTTCTGCGACGTCGCAACAGGAACAACATACAAAATATGACAGTGATAATCTCAGGTATTGATTAGGCTATGTGCTTTATTCAATGTAAAAAGTGTTTAATGTGAGTTTGAATATTATTTTGCGTGATCTTTATAGCCATAGTGAAAGCAACAATAGATATTTTACCTCAGATCTTGAAAATAAATTAAAGCAAACTTGTACGTTAAAACTGTGAACTCGTTGCGAACCAACACGTGTATTCCATAACAAAGATGGTATCAGTCACTCACTCACTCAAAACTGTTCAGTCCATTCACATTTGAATCTTCTTTTCCTTGTCCACTTTTCTTTCTACACACTCGCCATGTTTTTGCTGTCACAT